AGAAAGAAAGAAAGAAAGAAAGAAAGAAAGAAAGAAAGAAAGAAAGGAAGAAGGAAAGAAAGAAAGAAAGAAAGAAAGGAAGGAAGGAAGGAAGGAAGGAGGGAGGGAGGGAGGGAAGGAAGGAAGGGAGGAAGAAAGAAAAGAAAAGAAAAGAAAGAAAAGAAAGGAAAGAAAGAAGGAAGGAAGGAAGAAAAGAAAAGAAAAGAAAAGAAAAGAAAAGAAAAGAAAAGAAAAGAAAAGAAAAGAAAAGAAAAGAAAAGAAAAGAAAAGAAAAGAAAAGAAAAGAAAGCACTGTCCCTGACTGTACTCAGCACGAACAGGCATGTCCTGGGGCAGAGGGCACCCAGCATTCAGCAGACTGGAAGGGCAGTACCTGCAGGCTGGCAGCTAACTGCTACAATGGGTACCCTTACCCAGACAGAAGGATACTAGCGCATTGTTCACCTGGAGTGACAGAAGGAGGGAGAGAATGTCTGAGAAGATGTGAATTCAAAGCTGTGACTGTGACAGTTTCATTGCTTTTTCAGACAAACCTTCCCCTTCCTGTTCTACTTGCCCTGTTCTGGCCTTTCATTTCATTCAAAGGTTTTTCCTCCTTTTTTCTGACCCTGTTCTGGAACTACTCCTTCTGATCAAACTTTCTTTATTTCTAACTTTGACTGTGGAAGGGTGGTATGTGAATTGTTTGATCTCTTAGGTCTAGGTGAGTTAAGAGTGTTTTTTTGCACAGAATGATAAAAGGAAGCTCTTAATCATGAACTTAAGATGGATCCAGGAAGTGTTATTAAATATTCAGATTGGACACACTGAAAAGGCAAAATTTGCAATCTTGACTGTTCCCATGATATAAATGTTATTAATGTTTTATTTCTTCTAGAAATATTCTTTTGTGGTTGGTGTTATGACACAGCGGGTTGAACTATTGCCTGGGATTTCAGCATTTCCATGAATTCTGGTTTGAGTCCTGGCTGCTCCACTTCCAATCCAACTTCCTGCTCACATGCCCGGGAAAGCACCAGAGGAAGGCTCCAGTGCTTGGGCCCCCACACTCTCATAGGAGACCTGGACAGAGTTCCAGACTCTTGGCTTCAGGCTGGCCCAGCCCTGGCTGTTGTGGTCATCTGGAGGGTGAATCAGTGGATAGAAATCTTTGTTTCTGTCCCTTCCCCATTGTAGTTGCCTTTGAAGTGAAACGGGGGGGGGGGGGGAAGAGAAAGGAGAAAGGGAGAGACAAAGAGGAAAAGAAAGAAGTATTCTTGTGATCTCAACATTCTTGGAAATCTTAACTACATTCTTAGCCTGGGCTTTCCCAGACATTTACAATGACCTGTGAGCCACCTCTCCGAAAACAGGAGGATTTGCTTCAGCTTGCTCTTTCTCAGTCCCCCATTAGGTACATGAAGATATTCTAGCCACCTATCTTTTGTGTTAACACCTGCTGACTTTCACCAGTTGACATTATAAACTCAACTGTGCATTTTATGTTCTGCAAAAAGTCAAACGATAGAAGACATTTTGGTTCCCAATAAAAATATCTACAACATTCTCAGATCCAGAAAAAATGACGTTATACAGATTCAACTGGAAATTATTATGCTTAGTAAAACAGGCTAATCCAAAAGGACAAACATCACATTGTTTTGGATATACTGAAGCCAGTATACAACAAACAAAAGGTGTAGGAATGAAATGGTCACTTTGGGATAGGAGTGTCCTTTTTTATACTATGTTTATATTCCAGTGGAAATGTAGTCTTCTATTCTTTTTACCTGCTGAGTATTATGATTAGTGGCAAATTAAGCCTGTGAATATATAGCAGATTAAAATTATGACTCTACAAATACTGTTGAAAAGAGGGCAGGGAGAGGGAGATGGCAGGGAACATGGAGGCGAGGGACAAGTGACTGACTTCTTGACTGTACATACAGAATGCAAAAATCTATTCTATGTAAGACAAAATTAAAAACCTTTTTCCTCTTTCAAAAGAATCCATCGGTTGCCAACACTGTGAATCTTAGGAAAAATTAAGAGTAAGATATGTGTTACAGATGTATATCTGTTAGTAAAATTATGAGCCAAAACTCTGGATTCCTCACAAAAGCAAACCGAAGGACAAAGCCTGATGCCAGGAGGGCTTTCTCAGCAACCTTTCAGATGTTCAATCATTTGTTCCAGTAAATGCACTGGCTTACTCTTATAAACAGGGAAAGCCAGCAGTAAAGAGAATCTGAACTTAATGCACATTTAATTTTTACATTTACTAGGGGGCTTCAAAAAGTTAACAAAACATGGAATTAAAAGGTAATTCACTTTGGTGCAAAACTCTCTGAGATTCATTCACATACTTGTATAATATGCACTTCCTGAACTTTCTGAATATCCCTTGTACCTGATGATAAATTCCTTTTTCTGTTTACTGTCACCTGGGCACCATTCTCCCAGCACGACACCTTCCTTCTTCCAGATGCCCTCAGACGAGGCCTGAGCTGAGATGCAGGGCAGGAGCTGGGGACGGGGTGGGGGGGAGGTGAGTGGGCAGTGGCAGTGAAGAGATTCCTACCCTCACTGTCCTTACAACAATAATTTATACTTGTAACACTGAAGAATAAGGATACGAGTGAAAATCAACGAAATTTCACCATTTGGAGAACATTTTGGTAAGACATCTTCCTAGATACCTTTGTTACTACTCGTGTTTGTGCAGATAATTTCACATGACTAGAACATCAGGCATGCTATCCTATAATGTGCTTTTCACATGGGTGGAACAGATCTGCATCACTGTTTTGAATGATAGTATAACACTGTACATATCCAACTTCACCAATTTCTTCACTTTTTAACTTTATAAACAGTTCTGATGAACCTCTTACTGTCTTTCATCATTCACATGATTGTCCTCTTTTTTAGGGTAAATTTCCAGAAACGTCAATGCTGGCTCCAAGAGTACACACGATAAACGTTTTTGACACAATCCCAATTTTTAAAAGACGGAGCCCATTTCTACTCCAACCAAGAGGACAACTGCTGACTTCACAGAGCACTTCATGGATGGCACTGGATTTGGCCAAGATAAAGGACACTGAGATTCTGGGAGTGTGTGTGTGTGTGTGTGTGTGTGTGTGTGTGTGTGTTTACTTGTCACTTACAGTTTTATTTCGTAATCATAACTTTAAATCTGCAATCCTGCTAGACCTGGAAGCGGAGTAAGGAACACAGGGAACCGAAAGAATTGCAGCGAGTGCAGTGTAGGGTGTCAGGAGCAGACGGGATGGAGGGGCGCTCTCCTGAGCTACACAAGGAATGGTGGTGAAGAGAAAACAATTGAATGAATCAGAGCTGTCCACAGCTGGCAATGGTAACCTTCTTGCTGGTCTTTCAATTCTCAGACCCAAAGTTCTCCATGGCTTCCACAATACTCATGCCCTTCTTCACTCTGCCAAACACCACGTTTGCCATCCAACCATTCAGTCTCGGCAGTGCACATGAACAACTGGGAACTGTTTGTGTTAGTTCAGCATTTGCCATGGACAAGATGCCAGGACCTGTATGCTTCAGGATGAAGGTTTCAGCATCAAATTTCTCTCCACAGACGGGCTTGCCACTGTGCCATGATGGCATGTGAAGTCATCGCCTGGACACGTAAACCCTGTAATAATCCTGTGAAAGCAGGAGCCCTTGTAACCAAATCATTTCTCTCCGGTGCTCAGAGCACCAAAGTTTTCTGCAGTTTTTGGGAATTTGCAAACAGCTCAAAGGAGATGCAGCCCAAAGGCTCGGCGTCACACGGTAGGGTTGACCATGGCTCACAGTGAGTAGCTGTGGCGAAGACGGCGTCTGCCTGGGTCTGTGTTGGTTTTATCATATATTTTTTTTGTAGTATACATGAAAGGAAACCCCTTTTGTATGTTTGTATTCATTTTTTCTTAAGATCGACTATTCCTGTATGTCCAACTTTTTAAATGATTTTTTAGAGCTTATATTTATAGAATTAATCCTTTGTTACATGGGTAGCAAATTTTTTCTTTTGAGGCACTGTTAACATACAGAATTCTCTAAAATTAGGTCAAAGTTTTTACCTCATAAACTGTGTATTTTTAAATACTTACTTTACTTTTTTGAGAGCATGAGAGTCAGAGATGGCCAGTGAGAGCTCCCTTCCACTGCTTTACTGTCCAAGTGCCTACCAACGTCCAGAACTGCAGCAGGTGCCAAGGCCAGAGGTCAGGAACTCAGTGCAGGTCTCACATAGAGCGGCATGACTGTGGAGCTAACCCACAGATGTGGCTCCTCAGGGCCACTGTACTCCTCCGGCGCCCACCAGACCATGGCCTCAGTGTTGTCCATTTCCCTGGACAGCGTGTCTCCAAAGGTCCCAGGGAAGAGTGACTACTGTGGCCATCACTTCAGTGGTGGGAACTGGTGTGATCCAGCCGCTTTTGACACATTCTAGTGCTGGAACTGCAGGGAGGCACCACCCACTCTGCCAAGGGGAGGCACTAGGAGTTGCCTACTGCCCGGGTGAGACACCTGGACTTTGTGTGGCCAGACTACAGACACAGTGGTCTTGGACATCCTGGGTTTTATGTTCCCGACAGGCTCCAGCTGCACTGCAGAACCACCTGCTTTGTGCTCACCTCTGAGCAGCACCTGGAGAAATGGTGGCTCATCTCACTTCAGCCCTCCCAGCATGGCAGAGACCAGCGGTGCGAACTGAGGCAGTGGCTGGCACCTGCTTCCTCTCCCCAGGGGAACATTGGACAATCACAGGCATGGTTCAGTGCCCTCAGGGCCTTGTCAAGGCACCTGAGACTGTCTCACCTGAGGGTCTCCACTTCAAGCAGAAGAACTGATCGATCTCATTGGAAACATTGAAACCTTCTCATTTATTAGCGTGACAAGACAGCTAAGCAGAGCTAAGCTGAGCATGAGTCTATTTTTGCTGTGGCTGTTAGGAGCTGGGTGTGGGGCAGAGTGGAAGGATTGCTGTGTGGGCTTACCTTCACCCTGTCCATACAGGCCTCCATCTTCAGCTGCTCCACGGCTTTCCTGGCTTGGGAGATGCTAGTGGTGCTGTTATTGGACATGCCTTCTTTCATTGTTTGGCCACTGGAAGAAACCAAAGTGGTCGAGTTGGATGTGCACAAGTCTCCCCAACCCTCCCCCTCCTCCCACCACCTGCATCTTCTCTGTCTAAGCCAGGAAGTATCTGGAAGTTTGGGCAGCAACTGGGTTACCTCTTAGGACAAGTGGACATCTTGCTGGAGTAGGGAGAGCCAAGATACACACTTTTGTTTAGAAGATGTTCTAAGCCCCAGAGAGAGTAAGATTATCACAGATGGTTCCAGAGGCACTGGGCACTATACCAGCAACACCACTGCAGCCCCTGGACAACTCTAAGGTGCTCTGCTGGCTTTTCGTACACAGGTGCTTGTTCATTCCTCAAGCTGGCAGAGCAATGCTAATTCTTATTTTGTAACTGCAGAAAGCACAAAGTTCAAGAGAAATCAAGCCAAATGGCCACAGCAAACATCTGTGGGGCTAGAACCCAGACTGAAGGCCAGGTTGAGGGTTCCTTCCAATGTCTCATGTGGCTGTCTAAGCAAATGACAGCTCCATGCACATATTACTGATGAATGAAATCTGCTTCATCACAAATCTGAATGTGCTGTCATTCCAGAGTTTATAGACTTTATATTGAGTTTGTCTTTTAAATATGACACACACACTCTTATCCCAAACACAGATGTGCTTTGTGATAGGGAAAGCAATTTTCCATGACTTGACACACACTAAGAGCTCATGTTGGAGACAAGGCCCATGTAATGCTCACTGGAACAAGAGAAAGTTGACGTGGTAGACCACAGTTGCCTGTTTTGATGAGCAATCGCTCAGAGGAGGCTCACGGTAAAAATCTGAGAGCCATGAGTGCACACACAGCGGCTAAGTTCCCACAAGCATGGCGTAAGGCGTGAGGGGCATTAGTCAGTACCCTGACAGGATTGTTAAAGATATGAGCTAGTAACCCTCCTACCCAATGGGGCAGGATGGCAACTCCATTTGTCCAAAGACAACTTCAAAGAAATTAAAATATTCTTCGTAGAAGCTAGATCAGGCATGGGAAGAAGAGTTGAAGAGGTGGGCTTTCCTGTGTTGGCTGGCAAGTGTTTCCTCCACAGAAGGAGAAGGCTGTGGAAATTGGGGGCCATGCCCCATGAGCTGAGCGCAGCCTGTGTTCCCTCCAGGGTGTCCTGTGTGTGTCTCCAAGGCCACCACGCCTGCCTTTGCCAGTCTTTGTGTGGCCACCCTCCTGGGGTGCCTGCATTGCTATGTGTCTACACAAAATGAAATGACAAACTCTAGTTCTTGCCCTTCCCAGCTACTGCCTTCCAATCCCAGAACTCCAACCTGCCTTTCTCAGAGGGATTTGGGGTGGTGGTGAGGAGATGGAAAGAGATAGGAATAGCAGAGGTGACTCCTAAAGGCCACAAAGCGGGGAGTAGGGCTCTGTGCTGTGGGAAAGGGAGAAGGGAGGCAGATATGGAAGAGAAGATGTGGAAAACACGTGACTGCGAGCAGGTGAGGGTATGTGTGTGTGTGAGTAGGGATATGTGTGAGCAGGTGTGGTATGTAAGCAGGGAGGATGTGAGTGTGAGCAGGAGGGTGTGAGGAAGTGTGTGTATGAGCAGGTGAGGGTGTGTGGGTAGATCAGGTAGGTGTGCATGTGAGCAAGTGAGGTTGTGTATATGAACAAGTGAGGGTGTGTGGGTGTGAGCAGGTGACGGTGTGTGGGTGTGAGCAGGTGACCTAACCACCTGGGCCATCTGCTGCTGCTTTCCCAGGAGCGTTAGCGAGGAGTGTCAGAAGCAAAGCTGCCAGAACACAAACTGCTCTGCTATGGGATGCTGCGGTCACAGGGGACAGCATCATCCACTGCACCACACTGCCAGTCCCCAGGAAGTCCGTGTTTGATCATCTCCTGGGGTGACTATGGCATCTATGTACCAGAGGCAGAGCACCACCACCGGCTAAATCACGGCTACTTCACCATTCCCTGGTGCCAGCCCAGTCACCGAGCAGGGGCTTTCATATTCCTCAGAAGTTCCCTCACTCAGTCCGTTCTTAACCTTGGAGATCACCTGTGGATCACCTGCAGTCACAGGCCTCGGCAGTGCCCCAGGATCCTGTATTTCTGATGAGCTGCCCCTGGCTGCTCCTCTGCGGCTTGTGCTTGGAGAAGGTGGTTGAATCATCAGGAGCTGGTGTTGGAGCGTAAGTCACAGCACAGCTTGTCTGGGAGTGGGCAGAACCCTTTTCCGTGAGGCCAAGAGGCTTTCAAACTGTGGATAGCGTTTCAGCCAACACTCCTGGTTTATTTTGCTGTCTCAGAACAGGCTCACGCCTTGAGTGATCCTAGACCTTGCCTAGCCTGGGAGTGAGAGGGCAGAGAATGGCCACTCCCCCACACGGGCAAGTTTACTCAGAGACAGCCAGCGGTGGGAAAGGAATGGCTTACACTGACTGGATCCAAAGATGCCTGGGCCTTTGGCCGACCTGCTGGGTTTCTGAGGCTCATAGTCCCCACCTGCCCAGGGACCCTTCCAGCTGCCCTTGGATAACACCTTTGCCTTCTCCAGATTAACTTGATGTCACACTTCCATGTGATCTGGTGTGTGTGTGTGTGTGTGTGTGTGTGTGTGTGTGTGTGTGTGCACGCACGCGCGCGCATATCCCACTTCAGCCCAAGACAATACTTGGACTGGGGACTGAGTGGAAACCAAACAAAGCTCAGGCTGGCTCTCAGCCTTCCCTCCTAGAAGGCAAGGTCAATGGGAGAACGAGCCAAGCACTGGGAGCTGGCCACGTCACCAGCTCTGTCCTCCAGGGCACAAAGTACACATTCACACAGGAGTTTTCCTGGGGGCAGCTGATGGCAATGCCTGTGGCGCAGTCAGTCGCTGCGAGGCCGGGGGTGGGGGACCAGAGCCAGATGGTACCATGCCTGGTGCTTTTGAGCTGTCTTGGAGAAGAGTATGAAGACTTCGTTGGAGTGTGGGAAAGAGGGATGGAAGAAGAAAAGTGACCATGTGAGGAGCTGGCCATACCCCGAGAAGTCTGCCGCCTGAGCCTCAGCCAGACCCACACAGATACACACACACTCCTGGCACACAGCTATTGCTAGTGAGAGAATTCATTCCCCCTACCTGCTGGGAGGCTGCACAGTGCCAGGCCCAGGCTGGGGACAGAGGCCAGCAGCCAGGTGTCAGACGAGAGGCTGGTCTGTCGCTCGCGCTTTGGATGACACCTGCAAGCACAAACAGACTCTTGGACAGGGAAGGACAGGTTCCCATTCTCTCTGTCCCCTCCACCTCAACATACTCTGCAGCTTTCCTGGGGGCAGACACATGAGTGAGACAGAGAACCCCCAATCTGACATAGAGCCCATGACTAGTGGCACAGGCTGCCGGGCTGGCTGGAGGCCGCCTTGCCCACCCAGCTGCCCAGGTCCCCTGCCACTCACTCTCGTGGTTCCAGCTTCAGCCAAGCCTGTCCCACACAGAAATCGTTCAAGGGCCTTTATTCCTTATTATAAAAGCACATGCTTGTCTATCCTCAAATAATGTGCAGAGAAAATCATAACAAAGGAAACAGAGCAATTGCAATGCATGTTCGCAGAGATAACCGTGCCTAACATGCTGTTACTCTCCCATCTTTTAGAAAACAACTTCATTCTGTTTTCTGCTAAGATTTATTTATTCCTTTGGAAAGCAAAGTTAGAGAGAGAAGGAGAGATAGAAATTCTTCCATTGCCGGCTCACTCCTCCATATGGTTGCAATGGCCAGGGCTGGCACCAAGATCTTCTGGGTCTCTCAGTGGGTATGGCAGGGGTCCACACACTTGGGTCCATCTTTTGGGGCTTCTCCCAGGCTACTGGCCAGGGGCTGGATTGGCAGTACAGCAGCTCTCATCATGGAATGCTGATGTTACAGGATGTGGCTCTATTTGCTATGTCATAACACAGGCCCCAGAAATAATCTCATTTGAACCAAAAGCTTTCAGGCTGAAGAGATGCCCAGGTCAGGGGATCTAGGAGATCTTTTATGCCTGATACAAGAGACAAGAAGGCCTGCCTGCCTTTCTCTTTGGACACAATTCCTTCAGACAGACCCTGAGGTAATGGCTTCTCCTGCTGGGGGTTCCTGGTGTCGTGCACGCATCCACCTCTGAGGGATCCTAGGACTTGAAGCAGAGACAATGGCCTGACAGGACTGGGCTGACAATCTTGCTTGCTCCCATCCAGTGAAATCCAAACTTCTCTGAGTTTAAGCTTCAGGGGAGATCATTTGAAAGTACTTTGTGCCTTTTTCTCAGCCTGTGCTGTAATCTCAACGTTTCCCTCACTGCCTGCCACCTCCTGACCAAAACCCCGTTTACAGAGCCCTTACCCTGCAGCTGACAGCAAGAGGAAGAGGCCCAGCCCTTGGAGTGCATGCTCAGGTGTGTACCTCAGGGTTAGCACCTTCTTCCTGGAGGTCCCCAGAGCTCGCTCACCTGCCTCCCGGAGAAGTCCCAGCAGGGAGCGGGCCCCGATCTGCCAGAGCCTTGGTCTTAGACTCGCCAGCCTCCAGAAAGGACAGAAATAAACACCTGCTGCTCCCACGTCAGGATTCATGGAATTCTGTTGGAGCAGCCTGTCCTACAGGTGACCATTCTACATTGTCACAGAAACCATGGGGCCCTGTCACTAATGTGATTGTTCTTTTCTGTTGCCCATGGCCAACTGATGTCTGAAAAATATACACAGAACATTCCAGAAATAAGGAGTTCCTAACTTTCAAATTGTATGCCATCCCTCTGGCCTACAGTGTGAAACTTCCTCTTGTCCAGTACACCTGTCATGCATGTCATACAACTTGACAGCCATGTCTCCTCTATCAGATCAGCCATCAACAGTACCTCAGTGCTTATGTTCAAGTACCCCTCACTTACCAGCATTATCATGGGAAGATGACTTGCCAAGAATGTCTAACTGCAGGAGTCTTCCCTGGCCACCCTTCAAACCCTGGAGGATGGGGCTGTGGGAGTACAGCCAATAGC